CATCGGTCCCTCTTGCCATCATAGTCGAGTTCAAAACTCTCGATTTTCTCATCAGGTGCAATGTTCTTATTTGTGAATTTTGCTCCAACCTGACAAGGTCTCTCTGTACATTCTTTCGCAACATGCGTCATTGCACTACAACTACAAAAATCAGTGAGGCCAAGTTAGAGAATGTAACAAATTCATAACTAAAACCGGTTTGTCTCCATAGAGAAGGTTTCAAAATCAGAGAAATCACTTGTTAAGCTTATGAATGTCAGAGTAGTAAACAATAAACATCGAGGAATGAGGGAATATAAATACTTTTGACACGCTCCTTTCCGATAATTTTCGGCTTGATAGGTCTTTGCACCTCTGTCATACCATGACTTTGTGAATTGGGTTCACTTTTCCAATTATTTTGATGGTTCAAAGGCTGTAAAAAACAGAGTATTCAGTGTGCATGTTCATTCAGAACCTAAATTATTGACCATTGAAGGGAAATCGAGAACTATCTACAAGTAAAATTGAATGATTCAGTTGCTGAAGCTATAGCCATGGTTAAAAGAAGATTTAAGCTGCTGCAGTTAGTACTTTCCAGGTGACAAGTTTAATGCTCTTGTCATTGCTGCTCTTGACTTTTGGCTAAATTTCCTGTATATTTTCTCATGTAAAGTTTGTTGATTTCCTTCTTTGTAGCCTGAAGGACTGAGGCTGTCTTTAGTCTCTCGCTCAAGCCATCAACCTTATAAAAGGGTATGTTGAACTATTTTGAATACTAACAAGTTTTTTCTCCTATGTGATGATTTGGATTGGTGGGGTTTCAATTTGAACAGATTTCTCCTCAACAAGAATATAGATGTGCTACTATACGTAGACCGTTTGGATCGATGTATATATTATTGGGTGGATGACTTAGATAGGCAAGTTGTGAATGCATGCTATAACCGATGCATTTGGTAAAGAGATATGAAAGAAGTCTGCTCTTGTCCTCACCCATGCTCAGTTCTCGGATTAAATTATGATCTCTTTGTCTCCAGAAGTTATCCGTGCAGGCTCTCAACTAAAGAAACAGGATATTCAGGTATTGATATTACATCCACGCATGCATCTCTCTGTAACTCCCTCCTTTGGTTATACATACTCAGGTTAATATTCCATTAACTTCTCAATCTTCTTTTGTTGTAGAGTTCATCTATTCCCGTCATTCTTGTTGAGAACAGTAGAAGATGTCATAAGAATGATAGCGATGAAAAGGTCAGTTGATTGGGTTTCTTTCTTCCATGATATCGATATTCTTGCATCTTATATTTGGACTAATCTTGTATTGGAATTTTCCAAATCTGTGACAGATTCTTTCTGGTGGATTCCCAATCTGTTCAAAACAATCACAGAGATCTCCTTTAATGGCAACAAGTCGATTCACGTTGTCCAAGGACCAAACACAAACGAAAGAGGAAAACAACTAATTCTGTTAATCTCAAGTAAGCCAAAGTTGGAATAACAATACATTTTTAAGCTGAATCTTGCATCTTGTTTCATCTTTCGATGGTTTGCATTTGCAGTTAATGTTGCCATTGGTTTGGAGTTTTGTGGAAATTGAGAATTTGCAGAGACATTGTTGTTCTTGCTCAATCTTCTTCAAACTCGCTGTAGTGAAATTAGGGTTTTTTGATTTCGACATTTCTCATAAAATTTGATTTTTCGAACCAAGATCAAATGTCGGCATCAACGGCAAAGAAAATATGTTTGCAAGTAAAATAACCCATCATTAAAATAACACTAAGCTTTAGAGATGTATAAGTATGTTTGCAAGTAAAGTAAACAACCCATCATTTCAACAATCCATACATCGTCGTACGACAAAATAGTACCTAGTAAATACTTCTAGTTTCTTATTTTCTAGTAAATACTTCTGTCCATACTTCCAAATTTTTTTTCTTTTCAGAAAGGGCATTCTATTGAAAAGCATAGGGATAGATTACAACATGGTACAAACATAAGAACATCTCTTAAGAACTAGCTAATACAAGAAGACTACGAATGATGAAAAGGATACTAAAAGGATACGTCACTGGAAAAGAGCGGATAGCAACTTGATTCCACAAGAAGATAGTGAGCAGCCAAACTACATAAGATCGACGGCAAAAGGAAGAGAGCAGGCAAGCCAAACACTCTAACCAAACACGGCAACCAATCATTGCCGGGAATCACCGAGTCCAAGAGAGACTGCTATTGGACACTATTACTCAAATTCTCCGAACCTAGTACGAGCAAGGCCACTAACACAAAACCAAGAAATCCGAGACTAATACCGGCTCCAAAACCGCAAACACCACACACCTCAAGCAACACAAGACACAATCAGTAGCACATACATGTGTTACCTAGAACAAACAGAGGCTCAACAGAGTCTGAGGAGATGAGAAAAAAAGCCTTTTGTTGTGAAACCGAGATCCCAAAGATCCACCAAACCCGATTTGGAGACCCAAGAGAAACAAAGAGGAGAAGGAAGAAATCCAGAGGGCCTCAAAGTCGAGAACAACCACCACAACACATCGACATTCACAACAGAACCAGAAGCACTCAAATCAAGCCCAGAAAAAAACATAAACTTGAGTCGAAGAGGCAGAGACCTAGCTAGAGCGAAAAACCCAACCACCATACTTCCAAATATTACCTAGTAAATATTTTCTTTTTTCTTCCAGCACCACTTCCCCACGAGACTGGCGAGAAGGACGACCAAGAGAATGGCGAGAAGGATTATGGCTATAACCAGCACAGTGGCAGACCCAGAAAATATTTTTACCAAGGTCAAATATATTATCATTATTTACTAAATATTACAAAAAATATTTTAACACTATTGTTGACATGGTAGTTTCATCTTGACCAAAATAGATTCGTTGTAATTGTGTTTTGTATAACAATTTTAAAATCAATGAACATAATTAAAAGTCGAAAGAAAAAAATAAAGCAAAAATAAAGTAAAAATAAAATAAATTGTAATGAAAATTTAAGAAGAAAATTTGGCTTTTTGCTTTGAAAATGTTTAAGATTTTGTAAAAATTATATTTAAATATGAGTTAATTGGGTCACATGGTGGTTTCCAACATAGATTAGGAGAGTCAAACTTGAAAGACTTGAACCATATTAGCTGAAGATTACTATGTGATCAAGTTTGCATGTCTAATCTATATTTTTTTACATAGGTCAGGTGACCTGTGCAAGGGAGCCAGGTAAACCCATTGACTCTACTGAACCAACATCAAGTCGTAAACCCATTGCCTTGTTGTCGATTCTGCAGGAAGAATTCTACTATCGAGCTTGGTCATATTGAAAATTATGGATTAAGAAGTAAGATTAGACGAAAGTTGTGTTAAAACGCTTGTTGATTAATATAGTGGTGATTACTAGGTGTGTACCTATTCAGAGCTGACACAGCCCACTTTAAAAAACGTGTACGATAAGAAAACCAGTATGTGTGTGTGTCTAATAAGATAGGTACATTACTTTCTTTTTTTGTTTGGTCACAAAGATAGGTACATTACATATATGCGTTTTATTTATGTTTATAACAAAATTAACGGGGTTCCTCTAAGGCCTAATTACGTACTTCTGGTTTCTTATTTTCGATTCACAAATTTCATGAATTCTGAAACCAAATAAACCAAAAGGTAAACACAATGAAGACAAGTAAACCCGAATCATATT